ATCATCCATTTTCAACTATAATGATGTCTTCAGTTCGACATGGGAGGACCTTGAGGATTCCCATGACATTCAAAGAGGACAACATCGATTTGAGTATGGCGATGATAAACTGGTTTCATCGACAATGTCTAATGATCATTTGGTAGCAATTGAACCAGAAGTTTTCACTTTATTCAGTATTGGCGGTTAATTCGGTTCGGTTCGTTTTAAATCGACTGGAAAGAAAGAAAATTGCTGTTGAATCTGAATCTTAGCTTAGACTCTGGTCTTTTTGAGACAATTTGGAACAGATCCCAATTATTATTACTGATCCAATTTTTCTCTTCCATTTCTTTTAAAAGCTTGCGTTGCATAGACATTTTTTTTCTCTTGAAAAAAAATAAGAAAATGTCATTTTTAATCGATTCTAAATTTTGAAAGTTAAATTTAAGTAAATACTAATTTTAGATATCATGCGAGTATTTTAATTTTTTTCACGTTTAATCGATTCTTAAATTTAACTTTTAATTATGCACTTAAAGAATAATTTTATAGGTATCCGGTCATGTCTAGATCAAAACGATCGATAGTAACTCTAATTCTTTAAACACAAACAACAATTAAAAGAAAAATTATTTTTGAATCCAAAAATGATTTCGGCAATTTATATTTATTAGGCATGTTTAAGTTCTTAGTACAATAAAACATATAATTAATTATTTTATAAATGTCCAACTGTTAAATATATATTAATAATGATATTACTTTAGGTTGGTATAACAGAGATGTCATATTAATTTGAAAATCCTCATACACAATGACAAGAATGGTATTGATAAATTCAAAATATTGATTGTGGAAAAAGATAACAAGAAAACCCACGTGCATGTATCTCTCAAATTTCATGTACCAATAAACTTAATATATAAAAATTAATTTCTCAATCTTCAAATTAATGTTGAATGTCAACTCGAATCCAATTTTAAAAGCATCTTTAATATATGAACATTTATTGTCAAGTGTTTAGAGTATTTCGAATAGATACCAACCAATATGACGAGTAACCGTTAATAATACTCGAACTGATGATTAATCTAAAAAACCTGATTAATATGATTTTAAATATTCATTAAAATGTTGTAAAATTCGAAACTGTAAAAACATGCGTATGCGACATTAAAAGACACAGCTTGATGCATGCCTACCAATCTATTTCATTCACTCTCACATGAATGTAGTCGGTGTACAAATAAATAACAGATTAGAAAACGAACCTTTGTTTTTTAATTACAATTGTGTCCAGTTGACACTACAAAAGCCAGGTCACAATAAAATTCATGTGAACTTAGGTTTAGGAGCATTGTAAGGGTGCACGGGACCGTGCTTTTGGATCCGATGCAGGAACCTTTTCTTATGATCTTGACATGTCGGACTCGGTACCGAATTCAGGGTTCCGTCTTGATTAAACGCCGAGTCAAACTGCTCCAACACCTTTACTATCTGCCAGAATTCAGGCCTCTTGTCTGCATGCAATGACCAACATTGTTCGATTAAGGCTCGCATGGGAGGCGGACAGTCTCCTGGGACCACGGGTCTCAAATTCTAGGAAAAAAAGGGTATGATATCAGAATTTGCAAATGTATAGATCATACATAAGACCGGAGAAATACGATGGTTGGTATATACGATCCATTGTTGTTTCTAAAATGGTGTTTAGGTTAGCATTGTATTGTTGGATGATAGGGTAGATGGTACCAAGTCAAATGCCTTCCTGGATGGATAGCTTACGATTAAAGCTCAAGCCGCTGCATGTGACCGAGAAACTATACTTCCGAGAATCGGGAAGATGACATAGCTTCCTAGTGGTCTACCATCATGCGGACTAAACAACTCAGTTCATCAACATTATGAATGCAGTCACATGCCATGACTTATGCATCAAGATTACATTCTTCAGCTGACTGAACACGATCTTGGATGTTTTCATAAGCAAAGGAGAATGAGATTAGTGAATATACCTTGTTCACAACTGCAAAAGCAGCTTGGATAGGATTCATATCCTCATACGGGATCATCCCGGCGATCATTTCCCATAAGATCAGTCCAAAGCTGTAAACATCCACCCTCCGTCCATAGGGTTTCCTTTTGATCATCTCAGGTGCCATCCATCGATAAGTCCCCGGGTCATCTCCCAGCAGATCACAATGTGCCTCCTCGCATGCTATACCGAAATCAGCAATTTTCAGGTGGAACTCGTCATCGATAAGGATGTTTCTGGCTTAAGATCACGATGAATGACTCCTTGGGAGTGAATATACTGCATCCCGCGAGCAACTTCGAGAGCAATAGCTATGATTTTTTGCAATGGAAGAGACTTGATCAAGCTTGTGAAAGTATGCCCTTAGTGAACCCTCTGGTAAATATTCAGTTACGACACAATAAACCGGCGGCTTTCTACATGCTGCTACAAACTAGTTATTGGATCGAACCATAAAGTTAGAACCGAAATGGTATGTGCCTGCAAACAAAATACTCAATGCAAGATAATTTAAAGCTATGACCAAAGTGAAAAAGAAATTCAATTACCTTTATAACGTTCCTATGACAGAGCCGGGATAAAAGAGTGACCTCTCTGTTGAACTGTTCTCTAACCGAACAGCCAAATCTCCTTTTTCGGCATCATCTGGTACCCTAATAATCTTAACTGCAACAGCTTCCTCCTTATATATCCCATGGTAAAGCCGGCTATTGGCACCGTGTGCGAACCTAAGCCCGAGAAACAGCTGGGAAAGATCAACAGTGTGTTCATCAGCTGCTCCGACAGAGTTAACCCTTCCACCAGCAGGGTCAAGACACCTGGTCCAAGAACACTCTTTCCAGCCCTTCGACTTATCCGATACTTTGAAAGACCCTGTATTCGAAGGCAATAATGAATTGAATAGTGGCTTTTCAAGGGAATGGCGACTTATCCTTCGCTTATCGGATTCTTTCCTTCGAGGATGTGGAGTTGAGAATCTCCTGCTCTCGGACCTCGCTTCCTTAAATGTATCAGTCAAAACAGTCTGGGGTGAAGGGGAAACAGATCTTTGCTTGTTCGTGATCGGATTCCGCTGGATCAGCGGATCAATGTGATCGGATTTCGGATTCAGAGGTTGTTTCGGTCCTAAAACCCTCTCCTGATTTGTGTCTGGTAGTAGGTTGAGAGGGAAACATAGCGATTTAGAGGACTGGAGTCTATGACAAACTGTGTGAGAAAACTTTGCTCTCCTAATCCATGAATTAGCAGCCTCTTCTGCCATTTTTATCTTCCTTGTATGTTCTCTCCTAAACAATATAAAACAAGCTTAAGAAACCGAGAATTCTTCAAACGAACAATGAAAAAAAGATCAAATTGTGGTTTCATTGAAATCAAGAAACCAATCAAAGCCATGAAGAACCATGAGAAACGAGAATCTGGTTGGCCTTAATCTTTTCTCCATCAGAAAGATGATCACTTGAAACCCAGAAAAATCATCACGACTTGAAAGTTCAGAATACCACCTTCCGTGAATGCCTGGAAAATCCCACACAAGAAATCAAATAAACAAGTCATTCATTGAAAAAACACATGATCATCGCACAGAATAACCGCAGGAAAACATAATTTGCGTCAAAATCAATAAACAAACCACATTACTAACAAAAACCCAGATTCACGCGTGAAAAAATAATGATTAAAATCAGAACATACGATAAGGATTGCCAAAAAAACACATAGAAAAGACAAAGAACTTTACCATGAAGCTAAGAAATGCATGGCTAATCAACGCAAGGTGGCTTTTCTTTTTTTCAAAGTATCAAAACCTTCTTTGTTGTTATAAACCAAAGAGATGATCTTTTGTGGGTGGAAAAAGATCGAAGGAAAACAACAACAACAACAAAGAGAAAAAAAACAAAAAATAGTAAAAAGGAAATTTAAAAAATATATATATAGAATTCACCTGTCAAAATAAACAAGTTTAATAATGTACACGTATCGTATACAGATGTGGCTGCATGACCGTAGATTCCGTGGATTTCAAACAGAACATATATATATATATATAAAGCTGGAGCCCACTAAGGGGAAGTCTGGACCCAAATAAAGAAATTAATGTAAATGGTTATGTCTTAAATTATTCTGATTCAAAGGGTTATTGTAATTGGATTAAAATTGATCTTAGATTATGATTGTAAATGAAACAAGTTTTATGAGGTGAGTTGTTTTTATATTAATTATTTATAATATATTTAGTCAAAGCAAATGTTTATAATATACATTTTAATTAGAGAATTAATAAATCAAGTATTTTTATTAATATTAGATAATATAAAAATTCGGTCGTTAATTGTAGTCTCCTGAACCATTAACGTAGCCATCTTAGTTGGTAGTTCTAAAAAATAAATTATTTGACATATTCAAAGAGATAATATAATAATTGATTCTTTTTTCTCTTTGAATGTGAACGATCATAACCTTTCATTCTTATTATAGTTGTATTATAATTGATTCAATAAGGACAGTACCCATTAAAGCAACTGAGGGTGACGTAAAAATAATTTTATTGATACCTCTTAGAGGCTTAGATCTAGGATAATTAATTATTAAAATTAATTAAAAAATTGAACACGTTTGAACATAACTACCTATATATAAAAGTTTGAAAGAGATTATAACTTGTTTAAATATTGTATTATAAATATTAATTATTAAAATTTCATATCATCAAATGTAAAATTATTTAAAGTTTAAAGTTAAGTATTGTATAAAGACAACTAATTGAAAAAATAGATTAAATAAAAATACAAATATTATATGTATAAAAAGTTAAATTAGATAACAAAATCGTATACTATTCCTTTATATATATACATAATGTTTTAGGAATATTCATAGCCTAGACCTTTACTTTGGGCTTTATTAAAATCATTGGACCTCCATTTCCTAAACCCTACATGCAATTTCCACACTGATAAACGCGTTGATTTCTTAAACCCTACCCGTTATTGGGCAAACGGGTGCGTTTACGTTTAGATTGACCTTCTATCGACACAGCACCCGGGCTATAACGGCGGCTTCTGCTTCTACGACGGCGGGGACTAGGTGAGGATGTTTGTTTAAGTTGGTTTGGTTTTTGCTCTGTTATTCTAATTGATATATGTAAAAACTGTTTGTTTTTCCTTCTAAGATTGAAATTTGCTTGGAATAATTTTCATTGTTTATTTATATTGGGTAATCTCTAGCAGGAATGGGAACTGATAATGATTCCGAAAGTGAGTTTGAGGGAGAGGGAGAGGATGGAGTTTCTAAAACAACTGTTATTGAATCGTCTTCCCTCGAAGCTAAACTGAATGAACTATTGCATAAGATTAAATCAGTTCAAATCAAATTGTTTTCGGATGCTACCAAAGAGTTTGTTAAGTTGCTCAAAACTGACGCTGGAGCTGAATTGCTTCGTCTTTATGTCCAATTTTCTCCTTCGTTGTTGGAGCTTCTAGAAGCTTGGAAGCTCCGACAGGGAAAACCTGGAACATCATATGTTCTATCTTTGATTTCGTCCATTCTGTGTCTTCCCGAGGGGAGAAGATATAATGATAAATTGGGTGTGAGTAGGGTGCTTGATAAGTTTGCTAGATTGATTGTTAATGAAAAGTTGACGGATGTTTATAAAGAGTTGAATAGTAAAGATGGGAAGCGTCAGAACGCTGCACTTTTTTTGATGAGTTCGCTTGTCAGGCGTTGTTCAGGGTTGGCTTCCGAGGTTGCAAAGAAATTTGACTTTAAGCTCCAGGGGTTTTCCAAGCTTTCTGAGTATAAAAAAGAAATCAAAATGATATGAAAAAACATTCGACTAGAAAGTCTTTTGTTGGGTTCGCTATGTCGTTCTTGGAGATGGGGGCCAGGGTTATTGAGGTGGATCTTGCAACAAAGGGATATGTATTCTGGTGTATTGAGAGGCATTGGGAACGATGATGATGAAACTGTTATATATGTTTTGGCTACATTATAGGGTACTCACTGAAGAGTCCTTAGTGCCACCTGGTCTTAGAAGTGTGCTCTTTGGCAGTGTTACTTTGGAACAGCTTGTGAACATTTCTGGAAGGGAGAATGGTGGAGCTGCTGCAGAACTGGCCTACAGAGTGCTTCTCGTGGTTTCGACTGATCCTAGTAATGGGTTGATGCCTGATTTGGACAGAAAACCTAACCCATTAAAGGGTAATCCAACAAGACTATTAGGGGTCATGAAAAAGCTAAGAGCGACAGAGGTCAGCTACCATAAGGACTTACTTTTGGCTACTTTTAGGGGCAGACCATCCTTGGGTGCAGCTTATATGAATGAGTTCCCATATAGCGTTGAAGATCATGCATCGCCTACTTGGTCAGTTTTCTACATCACTTCCATAATTTCCTGCCGTTTATCATTGTTAATGTTGTTGCAGTATTCATGTAACTGAAGCACTTGCAGGTTTTCTTCCGTTACTCTGGCAGCAAGCTTGATTTCTTCAGTGGCTGTGGGAAATCCATTTAGTTTCCTTGATGCAATGTCTCATGATCCACCTTCCTTGATAGTCCAGATGTACAGGATATTCTGAGTTGCATATGTCCTCGTCCCCTCAGCAGATCTGTAGTCACCAAGGGTTTGCTTCACTCTGATTTTCTTGTGAAACATGGAGCCTTAAGGCTCCTTTTGGAGGCACTGAAGTTGTTGGATTCCTTCATTGGCTCTTTGAACCGCCTTTCTCGTGTGAGAAATCAGATGATGGAAAAATGGGTATCGTTGAAGCAAGATTCAGAATGAGGTTCGAACTTTGCTTCCTGATACACAGGTCTTGATGACACTACTTTCTTCGCTGGTTACTCACGGTAGAACTCCAATGTCTTCTTTGAAGAGGAAACCAAGTTTAGAAAACATTTTGGAAAAAAGAAGTTTAAAGAAATTGAAAGCGGATGCTTTGAATGAGGATTCAGACATTATTGTAGGTGGAATAAGTTCTGTTCCTGACATTTCCATGCCCGAGGATCATGAAATCGATGCAGATGCATGTATGACAGATGAGTTGGACACTGAAAAGGAGTTTTTGAGTGTCATTTCAGAAATTTGGGGTTTATGCCCCAGTTCCAACCCTCTTATGGAATTAAAAGATATGGATATGTACTTCTACTCTAAGCTCATCGACACACTCAAGATATATCTTGTAAGTTTCAGTCTTTAGAATATGTATGTTCTATGTTGCAATCCAGAGATCCTTATTTGTGAGATCTATTAGCATATATTCTCATGGATGTTTTATTGTGCTTAGAAGAATTCTTTTGCATGATGAAGTTTCCAGTCTAGGCACTAAATGAGTGAAATGGTTTAGCACTATACATAATATATACTATTAATGTTGAGGAAAAATGGAATATTATGGTTCTTTTCTATTCTGAATTCAAAAGTCCTCTGCTATAATTCTAAGATCGTTTTCTATTTTTATTTTATTTAATGCAGCGCGTGGTACCAACTGTATTAGAGGGATCTTTTGATTTCTTCATGAATCTTCTGAGCATTCCAGCATTACCAATTGATCTGCAGTGTTCTCTTCTTTCATTGCTAATTGAATACATTGGATGCCCTACGGGAAATAGGAAGTCCAATAGAACCCCATTGCTGATGTACAGACATCTGCAGACTTTCATTAACTTGCTAATGCTCTCACCAAATAGTGATATAAAGAATCAAGCTTATATTCTGGCGAAAGCAGCTATGTTGAGTACTGGTGCCTTTGACAGAAACCTGTCTGAAATTGACGCATGGTTCTTATTTTTGCCCAGTTATAGCAGAACTAAATCACCTGTTGAGGTGCAAGCAGTAGAAGTGATGCAGAGCCTCTCTGGAGTTGTTATCTCATTCTTAGGTGATGCAATTTCCACTATTGGGAATAATCTGTTCAAACATTGGGATATTGTTAGGCAGCATATATCCTACTTAAAATGCTTTAAAGGTAACTAGTAATTCATTTTCTTTTGCTGACATTATATTGTTACATTTGCATACATAGTTTTGTAAATCGAATTTGTAGTTACCAATAACAATTAACTAATTTTCTTTTCCAAGCTTTCCCTGTCCGGATGTCCCAGAATTGTATTCCTTTCCATTTTGAATACTCTATACTCCCTCTGTATTCCGAATTTGGTTTTCACGATTTTTTATTTTTTATATTAAAAGGCATTAAAATTGAATGTTATACTTTTTTTTACAATTCTAACATAGCATTCACCAAATTGAAGCCTTTATCCCCTCTCTTAATCTTCACGAAGGCAAATGGATACAAACAGAAAAGACATGGGGTTATTGTATATTTATGCTTCTACTTATAACTGCATTAAGTTTTCAATGTTCATATTGCTCTAAACTGTTTGACATTGATATTGCTTGTTAAAGTATTGATTTATGAGAGATGTCATGATCTCAAATGGATACAAACAAAATTATATTGCTCTAATTTTTTCTTTCCAGTATTTAAAGAATTGTAGGTGAATAAAGCTGGTTCTTGATTTAGCTATTTTGAGAATTTATGTGAGATTCCATGAGCTTAAAATGAAAATGAATAATGAACTTGCATGCTGGACTGTTTTGCTTTAGTTTTGTTTTTGCTTTCCCTGTTGTTGGTTATTCTTGGTATTTAGCTCATGCAATTGCAAAGTATTACCTTTTTCCTGTTCAATTTATTGACACTACTTTAAAACTAAGTCTAGCTTGTATGATCAGATTAGCATTGCTGCATCTTGTCTTCTTTATTTTGGGTGGTAACATGAGGTTGATGGAGCTCTTACATTTATTGCAAGAGCATGCCGTTCTTTGGATTCTTGAGCAGCAATGTTTTCTAACAGGCTTAGCAGAAAATTAGTTCTGATATGTTTGGTCTTTGGTAGTTAAGACATTTGATGTCTCTAGCCTGACAGATTTTGCACCAATTGCCTAAGTTCCACTAATAAAATTTGAAATTATGGAACTTTGCTAATACGGTTGAAAGTAAATCTGTTTTTCTTAATAATCTACATGAGTTGGGAAAAGATTTTGATTATGGTCCAAGATTTTTCCTTGCCCTCAAAAGTTGGGGTAAATAGTAGTATCATTTACTGAAATCATTGCTTATGTAGTTATGTTGTTCTGCTGCAGGTATATCACCTAACTTTAGCCCTCTCACTATATGTGCCCTCGATAAGTGTTTTAGATTGCTCAATTCCTCATCTGGAACCTTTTCGTTGTCTGAGAAGTCAATGATATCCTTGTATGTGTGCAGTACTTTGAAATATCTCTTGCAGACACAGGTACTGATTTTTGCAGTTTAATTAAGGCTTGAAAACTGTCTATTTTTATTTTCTAAGACCACTGAAATTTGATAGGTAGATGCGGGATTATTCTCTGATTTAATTCGGTCAGTTTTGTCAAAGGAAATTGGTGGTCGCCATTCCATGGTTTATGATTCTGGGGATTTCTTGTGTGAGTGGAGACCATTGAAGAGCTTGTTGTACTTTTTAGAAAATGCAGTGTATCAACAACCTCAGTCCATCCTTTCAATTGACAAAACTGCCATCGATGGTGATGGTTCTTTTGCAAAGATGCTTGATGAAGTGAAAAAAACTATTAGAAATGAGCATGGTGGTGAACTGACTGGAATAGTTAAAGGCTTTTATTCTGCCATGCTATGTGCTACACCTGAGGATCTATTAAGGAATTTTCCTTTGGTTATGACTATTTCTCTGAAGCTTGGAGTAGCTCTCCCACTATTGTCATCAATAATATTTAGTGAGCAAAATTTTCTTGTTGGTCTTTCTAATTTATGGCCAGAAGTATTTTTCCCTGGTTTGGAATTGGCTTTGATAATGATCCATCAAAAAGGTAACGGTGATGCTGAAGGAATGCCCTCTGACATTGATTTTGATACAATAGAATCAGCTGCCACAGCATTTAGTTTGCTTTTGAAGCAGATTCCCTTTCATGTGCTATTTTCTGCAGTTATAAGTATTGATTCTTTTATTTATCCGAGCACTCCAAATTCAGGACTTGCTTTTGGCTAAAAGGTCCGAATGCACTAGTGATTATGTCATTTCCTGTCTGCGCCTTGTATTATTTTGGTTCTATCGTGTACGATTCTTTTATAGAAATAAACAGTTAACTGAACTGGAACGACTTTCTGATACGTGTTTGATTCTTGTAAAGAACATGTTTTCCCAACTGTTGACTTTAAAGCCTGAGTTTGAATGTTCAACGGATAGTGAGTTTCTTTTGTTAGCAGAAACAATAAGAGAAGTGGCAGAAACCATCTTATGTCATCCTGAAGTGATGTCATCACTGAATTGTCCTATGAGTTGGAATAAGGAGGTGAGTCAGATGACAACAGGACTCGTATGGAATGATTTAGATACATTTCTGAGTTTATCTAGGCAAAGGCTTCATAAATTAGATCATCAAATCCTGGATCTGTTGACTGCAACTTTGGGCTACTACTTGTCTGTTTCCAAAAGCCATTATTCTGTCATTGAAGGTGGAGCAAAAAGGAAATTTCAAAGGGCTTTCAGTTCCTTGGTACAAAGGCTGTTTATAGACTTAAGGGACAGGTTTGATTTGTGTATTGCTAGTGGAGATTCGCTGCCACTTTTCTCATCATTTTGTGCTGTACATGCTTTGATTCGATCTATATCTCCTTTGAGCTTCTTGAATCGGGGCATTGGATGTTTAGTAGAATTGATGTGAATGAACTGACGGTTGAAAATGATCGTGTGATGTCAGCTCTCTGTGTTGGTTTTTCAATTGTTGGTGGTGCTTTTGAAGTTCTCTCCGCTTATTTGCAGCAGCCTCTAATAAAGAGAATACCATATGATTTCTTATGGGAAGTGGAAGATAAGACTTTTGATGTTAACCTTTTGGAGGATATCTATGTTAAAGTTTGTAAACTTGCCTGTAATTTCAATGTGAATTTTGCTGATTCGTGTTTACTCAGATCTGTTAGTGCTGTGAATAGGCAAAAAAACATGCATAAGCATGAACTGCATCCGTCAAGTGTAGCAATGTCAAGGGTTATAATTAGCACTCCTGTAGAAATGGTTGCTCACTGCATTTGTAGGACTAGCATTGTGAAAGCTAAACTGTTGCATCTTCTTATTGAGATGAGTCCCCTGCATCTCTCTATCTTTGGGAAATTATTTTTAAGCATCTTAAACAATAATTTTCGGTCCAATGGCATTTTGACGGAAGAATTCTCTAGCTATGCCCTTTCAGATCAGGATTATATGATGCTACTTCCGGCTGCTTTATCATTGCTAAATTCAGCTTTTGTGAAATTTGAGAAGCATTTTTTCCAGCACTTCAAAACTATACCATCTTTTTATTCGAGGATGTTGTTGGATGGTTTCATGCATTGGAAGAGCTTTGTGTCCGAAGATATATTTCAGGAGGAGTACAGCGAGACATTTCCATCTTCTTCTGAACTTTTTAATCTGGTTGATGGAAGTCTTCTTGGGAAATCAATTCAGATGCTGAGATATCACTTTTTCTTACTTGGAGATTCTGTGAAACTGAAAAAGCGATTGGAACTTTTTAATTCCCTTTTTGCATGTTCTGTTACACATGGAGAACTGATTGATTGCGATGCTGAAATGGATTTTAATTCAGTTAACAAGTCAATGAATCATATTAATAAAGTTATTGCCAAAATATCATTCTGCAAGTTGCTGTTATTTCCAGAAGATGATAAAGTTCTGTTTATGGCAAAAAAAACAGGTGAAGGTTTGAAAGAAACCTCGTTAATACCGGGTTCTAAAAAAGTGGACTCTGTGAGAATGCATTTTATGAATGCTTTAGTGGGTGCATGGCAATGGATGGTTAAGAAATTACCTTTAGTTCCTGAGCATTCGACATCAATATTAGCAAGTAATAGGGATTGCCAAGGTTTGTACAGATGTTCAGAAGTTTTCATCTTGAGAAATATTCTTCAACTGACCAGAAAAATGCATAGCTATCTAATTCAATTGCAATCTATTCCTTTTGTGGAACAGTTGATGAGATCCACTCTCGTCCACAGATTTGAAGATCCCAATACGCTGAGAATTATAAGAAGCATTCTTTTGTTGCTGTCAGAAGGAAATTTTTCACGAGTTCTATGCCTTCAAATGTTGCTTGGTCACTCTCAGTTTGGCCCAATGATTCACTCTATCTCTAAACCACCTGTCTCAGAGATTGGTACATTTTTCAGGCCTATGTCCAGTATTCTAAGGTTGCTTGTTATCCCTCATATCTCTTCAGATATGACAGATGGCAAGGATGACCAGGAAGCAACTGAAATGTGTAAGAAGCAGTTAGAAATTCTTAAGTTACTTAGAGTACTCCTTCAGCCTGGCACTAATCAGTCTGGTTTTGATTCTGAAAATGATCATGGCATAAACCTTAAAGAATTGCATTTGTTACTTTTTTCTTCTTATGGTGCAACACTTAGTGAAATTGACTTGGAGATAAACTGTCTGATGAACGCGATTGAGTTGATACATTCGTCGGGAGGATCGGAATATATTAAAGAAATGGATTACCTTTGGGGCACGGTGGCAACGAAAGTTAAAAAAAAACACCTGCTGGAGCATGTTGCTTCTACTGATGTCATGAATGATAATGAAGCAGTTCAAGAAGGTCGAAAAAATAAGTATAGGGAGAATCTTCCGGTTGACCCAAAAGTATGTGCTGCAACAGTGTTGCACTTCCCTTATGATAGAACTGCTAGGGAGCATTTATCCTTGAACAAGTCTCTAACTGATAATCTTATGGATATGATTGAGGTACATCTCGAGTTACTGTGCTCCATCATTTTGAATTTTGTTCTGATGCTCTAGTATTTGTATTGCTTGTTATGATCATGCTATAACAATTTTTATATTTTCACTTTTTGCAGCCATGTTCTCTTGGTGCTGGAAAAAATTTGCTATATGATCCTGTTTTTATCATGCACTTTTCAATTCATAGCTTGTCGGTCGGCTATATTGAACCAGTTGAGTTCACTGGTCTAGGCTTGCTAGCTATCGCATTTGTTAGTATGTCTTCCCTTGATGTTGGGATGCGAAAATTGGCATATGAAGTTCTATCAAGATTCAAGATTTCACTGGAGGTACAGATGTTATAAATTTTTTGGTATCATTATCAATTAGTTTTGAACTTTTTTTTTGGTCAAAGGAGGACTAATTGTCCTAAACAAAAACCAATTAAACAAGTCTGTGATATCCAATTCCGACAATGTCAGCAAGACAAAGTGGTTCAGATTGCCTGGAGCTTGCTGGTATCTTGATTTGGGGTATTCATATAAACTTTTATTGGCTAACCTTGCTACGAAATTATTTTTCCTAGGATTTTGGAAAGTCCAACTGTCCAATGTGTTCAAGAGATCTTTTATGGGTTTGATGGAGTTGGAAAGAGGGTGTCAAATCTCATACTCTTGACTATTTGAATTTCATGTCATATACATGAAAATTCAGCAAGGTCGATTGAGCGATCTCCAAAGAAGCAAGTAAAATCTGCCATCTCATTTCCCTCTGATATCTCATATCTCAATGAGCACCAACTTTTCAAGCCACCATCTTTGTTTACTTTAAGCCTAACCAGGTCTTGTGGAACCGAATGGTGAAGGATTTCCTATCCGGGATCCTTTTGTGTCTTTTTGCTCGTAGACATCGTGAGCTGTTATTCGTTAACTATTCCTATGGTCTCCCTTTTCTCCATCCTTCTAACTCCATTGTTTACTAAAAGCTGCTCTATTCCTACATTTCTATATAAGGCATAACATATTTATTAACATAGGTAAGCTCCATAAAGCAAGCGTATCATCTTTCCTGCCAATGATATTAAAAAACCAATCAAGGTGAGATGCTAAGGACCTATATGTAGGCATATTCTTCCAGGGCAAATCTCTCAAAATACGAAGGACCTATCTGTAGGCATATCCTGGATGCCTCTTTTTCATGGACCTCAATCAAATATGCATTTTCTATAAAGAAATCAAGTCGCCAAAATTCACTGTATGGCTTTTTAACATGCCACCCCAGTAGTTGTAGAGTAATTGTGTGTGTGTGTTTCATACAAGTTGGTAATTGTATTTAGACGAGAACATAAGCTGTTAATTGGCCTAGATATTGTTGATATGTTTTTATTATGTTTTTCTGATTAAACATTTTGTCTGTTTGCCAAATTGCATGGAATTTTTAGTAATGTAATGTTTATCCAATGTCCAAATCAATTATTTCAGGGGTGTCAGAAGAAAAAAGATGTTATGCGACTTCGCCTGTTGTTGATGTATATACAAAATGGAATAGAAGAGCCATGGCAAAGAATCCCTTCTGTTGTGGCCCTTTTTGCTGCTGAGATGTCACTGATTTTGTTGGACACTTTGCATGAGCATTATTCAACCTTAAATAAGCTTTTGATGGACTCATCTAGGGTGAATATGAAGGTACTTGTTCATCTCCTAGACAAGTTCTATAAAATGGAAAAAACTTTTCATTAAATATGCTTCTTTAAATTGCTTTCTCCTTTCTGATTTCTATGTATGGTGGCCAATTCTTTATATGGTTCATTTGTGTTTGCAGCAAATACCCCTGTTCCATGATTTTTTCCATAGCAATGCTGTTAACTATAGGGCTCAACGGCTCTGGATACTTCGGCTAGTCTATGCTGGACTTAATTTAGAGGATGCTTGGTTGTATATCAGGAGATCTATTCTAGAGACTCTAATGAGTTTTTATGTTTCCCCTCTTTCAGATGTTGAGTCCAAAAAAATAATTCTTCAGGTAATAGTTAGGCTGTGTAGCTTCTTGTTTGTTTTATTATAAACTTTTGTATCATATAGTTACTTGAAAATGTTCTAATGTGGAGCTTTTTCAGTAAATTTAAGTTCCCTCTTTATCTTATCAGAGATGCATGCTATCTTATTTTATTGTGATTCCATTACCTATGTATATATCTTTTTTGAAAGAGCTTGAAAGGTTAAGAAAATATTTAAATAAATTTACACTAATTATAATTGATGCATATTTATGTTTTACACTATAATAAATTGAGTAACCTCGGATCATTATGTACCAAGTTGATAGATGGTTATGGTAATGAAGTGTGTATTGTATGTTTGATAATCGTGGTTCAGGGTTCTTAAAGTTTAGAGTGCATTAGGCATATGTGAGGCAATGAAAACATTAGTGGGCATCCTTGAAGAACCTAAGTGTGGTGAAAGATGAGGAAGAATTAGGTTTTGTATTGGCATGGTAGTGGTTTGAATATCCTAATATGAGATGACTATTTGATGGGGAAAAATTGGAAAATGAGTACTTAAGTGGTTAGAGTTTGGGCTTGGGAAGAGACTAGAAAGGGAAAAGCAAGGTGAAAATGAGCTGAAATATTACTCAAATGAAGATGTACGTGTTTACATCATATTATCAGGATAGCCTTAGCCCTTAAGATTAAGGTGGGGTTCTTTAGGTTCTCCAATAGGTTTACTTGCATGCCAGAGATAGTATTCAGAGGTCAAGGTTGATTTAGTGCTAACTCCACAATTTTTTGAGACATCTCACAAAGGAAACATATATTTTCTGAAACATCCCATAATCTTAAATAGTTTTTCGTTCAATATCATATAAGTTCAACAGTTATGGCCAATGTGAAAGTAACAAATTCTATGCTTGAAAAATGCAGATGCAACCCATATTTATATTGTTGATGATTAGCTGCCGTATAAAGTAAGGTATTTCATTTTGTTTGCTTTGCAGATATTGAAAAAGTCTGTGCAGTTGCATAAAACGGCGCATTATCTGGTTGAACGCTGCAGTCTGTTTCCATGGTTGTCATCTATTCTCTTAACCTATTGCGGGGTGCTACTTATAGATGAAAAGAAATGTTTCTCAACTGAGTTGGCTCTGGTTATAGAGGTTGTTATCTTCTTTTAGCTCATTCTAAAATTTTTGCTATTCGTTAATTCTACATACACTCTCTGGATATGCTAAATATTGACTAGAATACATATTAAGAATAATAATATTTTTCCATAGTTATGGTAGGACATGGTATGAATGCTGCATGGATTTCACTGTCTTAAGTCTTACCATTACTTAAGATAGTCTCGTTAGTACCGCTACCGCTATTTATAGTTCTATGACCTTTTGACGAGACATTTGCTCTCTGGATATGCTAAATGTTAACTTGAATGCTTTATTTACCTACTTCTTTGTTTCAATTTTTTATGTAGATTGTCAAAGTGGTCATTTCATCAAACGATATCACTGAATGGTTGCAAAGCTGCGCCCTTGAACAGCTGATGTTACTTACATCTCATCTATTTAAGCTTCTAGTCAGCGGCAAGAAGTTGATAAATGAGTACGCCGCTTTTGTTGGTCCAACTTTACATATTATCATATCAACTTTAAAGCTTTCCCATAAAAGGCATATGTACCAACCTCATTTTACTCTATCAGAAGAGGTTTTATTTCAAATCTACCTTGCTGTTAGTGAAGATGACATTCAAAGATGTGGTGCAAATGCCAAGTTTGCTCTTGAAGCTATACTTTTGAGCGGGCCTCTTGACATTTTCTGCATGGTTCTTTCCTTTCTCTCTCTTTCTACATTTTTATTTATCTAAGGGTTTATGAGTATCCTGATGGAGAACTTTATGTAAAAGTATATTCCATTTGGATGTATTTTGCAGAATCAAGAGCAGCTCTCAAGTTTTCTTATGTGGGCTACTTCTAATGCTTTGAATTCCAAGCCTAGAAATGCATTTCAGTGGCAAGAATCCGGTCTCCATATTCCAATCGTCTCAAGGGAAGCATCACACGAGGAGTCGTTCACATCAAAACTTTTACGCTGGCTTACTGCTTCTATAATTCATGGGAAGCTCTCTTGGAATTCTAACAGTTCAACTTCCAAAGTTTGCGCTCGATCTAACTTGAGAACTCTTCAGTCTTTGATGGAATATGTGGCAAAGGAGGATAAAGAAGGCAACAAAAGAAGCCGTGACTTGGAGGAGATGTTAGCAGCCCAAATGATTTATCTCCAGCAGTCTCTAGGCATAAATTGTAGTGTTCTTCCATCAGTTGTCTCTGCACTTAGTCTCCTACTCCTTTCTGATGATTCCAAATCCACAGGTACGTTAAAATTGACCTTCTTATCGATATCGCATTATGGGCTAAGGTGGGGATAGAGATTTGCATTAGGCTTTTGAAAAGAATCAATTAATCTATTTAATGCTAGATATTGTGAACCTTGTGACGGGTGGCAGGATGTTAAACATGCTTCTAGATTCATCTTGGCGTTTTATAATGGTTAAGTCTCTTGATAGTTATTCGGATATGTATCATTTGTACTTATAATTGTGATTGTAACTGCGCTTACTTAAAAAGAGGAAGCATTTACTTTTTTGCTGTGTTGGACTTGTTTACTTGTAACATTGAACTTTATGGTTTTTGCTGTTCTATGGTTTTTGCTGAATCAGGATCGGACTTCATGCATAGCTTTAGGACGTCGACGATGACCCTGTGTTCAAAGATACGCTGCCCACCCGAACTGAATCCAGCTTGGAGATGGTATATATGATCCTCCCTCTCACCATTTTTGTTTAATCTTTTTATGATAAATTCTAGGGTAGACTACTAGGGTCCCTGAACTTTTAGGACACTTGCATTTTTTATCACTGAACTTTTGAAACTTGCATTGGAGTGACTAAACTTTGATTTGCTTTTATTTCGGTCACTGCAGTCAACTGCTGCTGACATGGCATGCCCACTTGTCATTTTCTTTAATAAATTAATACCCTTCAATAAGATGGCGATGGTTATTGTAATCAGCTGCCATTAACGATAGCTAACATAGCATGCCTACGTCATTTTCTTTAATAAATTTTATTTAAGGAAAATATGTGATTGCTCGGTATTAATTTATCAAGAAAAATGACATTGACATGTCATGTCAGCCAGTTGACGGGAGCAGCCAAAATGAAAGTGAATTAAAAGTTTGGGGACTACTAAATTGCATACATGCATATATTTGTTACGAATGAAGTTTACTTGTGAAAAAAACAAGTAAAATGGCATGTGTTGGTGGTGTAGGTCATTTGGGCAGCCATGGGAGGATGATTCATCTGAACTCAGTGAGTTGGAGAGGATTGACGAGCTTCATGCCTGCCAATCATTGTTATTGACTCTCGGGAATGCGCTTCGGGGGAAGCCTTCAGATTTTCAGGGTTTATCACTGCAAGATGTGGACAACTCTGGTGTATTTAATTGGGAAACAGGTATTTTACAGACTTCTCTGTTGAATTAATGAAACTTTTTCTCTTACTAATGGTCAATTGAATCTTGATTGCTCCATTTTCATTGATATACATGTTCATCTCATAATTCAAGTTTTTTAGAAGAAAAAAAATTAACATCAAATTTTGAGTTATTATCTGATATATATAGTCACTGAAAAAAATCATAAGCGAGGCGTTAACGAGTGTTTTTAAAAAATTTTAAAAAAATCTAAAAATAAATAAATATAATATTTATCGTCACGATGATGTGATTTGTAGAATTATTTTTCCATTAATTATTTTTTTAAATGTATTTGATCCTCCATTGTAGACTACCAGTACCGTGTGACATAGACATGGGGAAGAAAGAAATTGTTTAAAGTTTTCCATCAAATATCACATGCCAAGTTGACAAATTCTAAAATAAGTAAATTACTTGTAGCTTATGACTTGAGAAATATCGGCTTAATCAAACAATTGGTCCTCGATTTATTTATTTTTTTTACTTTCAGTTACCTACTTGTGATAAATAAAATGTTTAAATTATATTCTATAGTTTATATAATAAAGTTTTTACTAAATAACATTTCTAACTCAAGAAAATGATAGAATTGTTTGGTTTCGTGTTAGTATAGTGAAGTTATGGTGTGGGTATCCATCACATCAATAACAATTTCCGTTGATTGAAGGGTGTTGAAGTTCAGTCCGTCTATTGGAAAATATAGTTTGTGATATGGTATATGTTCTTAAAATTTAGTTTTAAAAAAAATTGTAATTGGAAAAAATTATTTTTTTCATGATAAAATTTAACAAAAAATCTTCTAATTTTCTCTATTATTATATTAAAAATTTAATTGTAATAAATTTTTCTTAAAAATTATCAAATTTATGGTGTTTGGTGAATAATTTTTATTTATTTGTGTCTATCCTAGTTTCAATCATCTTTAATTTTTATATTTTACAATTTTGTCTTGTTATAAAATATTTTAGAGGTATATTTGTAGAAAAATAGAATAGGATATACGTATTGGATGAATTTGATAAGAGTCATATAATAATTATTATTATTTACCGGAATACGAGTCTCAGAAACTATAAAACCTGGTATATATTTACAGCTCTTCGTGTAAGTACTACTTTGCTCACCAAACCTTACATGGGTAGAGAGGGTGGAATAATTGTATCTTTAAAATTTCAAATTATTTTATATTTTAATGTTTTTTGAATTATAATTGCTCCAATTATTGCAGCAATCGAAATGACAAAGCAACTACACTCTTTTGTCGTTAAACTTGGAGGAATCCTCTCTTATAAGAATAAGATGCCAAGTAATAATAAGCATAACCATTGGCAAGACGCCGCGTTTTGCTTTACGATAATTTTTTTTAATTTTTTTTTATAAATCCTGATCCTAATCTCAAACCTTATTTAATAATATCTAATGATTATTATTTTCTTTGAGAAATAAAAAATAAAGGCTCCAAAAATAATTAGTGTTGGGTGAAAGCAACCAAAATGAGTTGCAAAAGGGGGACCACAGTATTTCGGATAAACCTCCACGTCAGATGGTCACAATTTTGCCACGTTTGATCTTAATCAACAGTCGAATCACATCACTCTTGTCTCTTCCAGATTGTATCTGACCCCACCATTTGGGTATCGAGATTGGCGATAGGAACCAATTAATACTCAATTTCCAGCCTTTTACAGGGGGGAACCTAATATATTCCAAATTTTAAACGTAAATTATTTTAATTTTTTTTAAAAGCACTATTCACATTAGGTAACTCAAATATTAAATAATTGTTGTACATAGGAATGACCATGGTCGAGTTTTCGGTAAATTCAACCCACCCTCGTAAGCATGCTCCCTCCATTATAAATACGATTCAATTTAAATTTAGAGAAGTTTTATTCCATTTAAATTTAATTTGAAATTTGATATAAAAGTCTCCTGATTTTAATATAAAAAAATCTTTTATATTCATTAAAATAGAAATTTAATTAAAAAAATTATAGAGAGAAAGAAACATTATAACAATTACCTATAAATATATAGAGAAAAATTATATTATTACCTTAGGTCGTCGAGTTGAGGATTTTCTCTCTAATCCTAAATTCAGTCCAATCTGAAATTTTAAAATTTTCAACCTTATAAGATCAAATTTGATTAAAACCTATCGATTTTAAATTAAATTATCATCCTTAATAATACAATTTCAATTAATGTCTTATAATATTAATATGATAAAGCTATTTCATTTTCTTTTTTAAGTATGATACAATATGATAAACAATATTGATATTTTATTTTTAAATATATCAAATCGAAAGACATCAAATGATTTTGGTGATAAAATAAATATTATTCTCTTTAGAAATTTTAAGTTACAATGTGTGTTGTTGTCAATAACTAAGAAAAGTTGTAAACATATACTATTTTATAATAACTTCAAACAATTCAAAAAGAAAAACAAAAATAAGTAAAATCTAATTTGTTCGTGTAATATTATTTTTATATTTTTAAATATGCTATATTCATTGACATTTAACATCTAAAGTGGTATTTAAATTAAAATTTCGAGATTATTATTGTTATCGTTATTTTTTGTGTAAAAAATTAAAACATTATTGTAATTTTATATTTATAAGAAACGAATATTGAGAAACGAACAAAAATGTGTGGGACGTGAATATTCGGGAGTATATCTAGAATAGATCAGATTACCAAATTATTGCAACCGGTTGACGTGGATCCTCGCTGTCTGGTCCAGAAATACTCGACTCGATCTGCAAATAAGCCAACATAACGCCACGTGGGAACCAACCTTCTCCCCATCTCATATCCGCGGCGGCTCGTTGTTCCCGCCGGTTCGAACCGGGTCCCCTATTCCATTAAATCTCATACTCCTATATAACCTACCCCGTAGTCCCCTACTAAACTCGCCCAGTTTAAAAATAAGGAAAAAAAAATCGATGGCCGCCATTGCAACTAGGTTCCCGTTGAATCACCGAAATTTAGTGTACGGTTTACGCCTGGAATTCAAGTTCCGGAGCAACCCGATTCGTTTGGTTCCGATATGGAGTTCGAGTTTCTCGAAGACAGTGACCTGGGAATCCTGGGAAACTGCGACGGTGATAGATTTCGAGGCAATAAAGATGGAATCGTAGATCGCGGTGATGATGATGGCGATGATGATGACGAGAAAGAGAACGATGAGGGAAGCAATGAAAATAGTAAGAGTTTTTGGGAGAACCAGCACCAGGCTTTGCAGCAAACATTGTTTAGGACGAACTCTATAGAATTGAGAATTCGGAACGCGACGAAAGATGCTTTGAAAGATATTCAGAGAGAAAGCACAGTTTGCGGTTGTGGGAAATCATCAATGGCGGAGGATTGTCGGAATTGTCTAACGAGAGAGGTTTCTAGTCGGCTCCAAATGCCGGTTTCAACAGCGCCATTTGCCGGACTAAATGGAGAAGCTCTCTAGATATCCCGTCAGGTATCTATTAATCTATCTATATACGAATCATTTTGTAGATTTTGGATTCAAATCCTATACTATTTTATGTGTGACTATCGATTCCCAATTACTACATGATATGTCTCCGTCATGAATCTCTATTAACAACTATGAAAATAAGGGCTTTCTCTTGGTGTGTTTCAACTGGATTTATGGTTCAATATTTTGCAGGGGAACATAGGTTTTTGGATGTGATAGAGAAGTCGAGAAAAAGCGAAGTAAGGGTAATCATAGAATTGAATTTCAGGGCAGAGTTTGAGATTGCAAGAGCAAGTGAAGATTACAATCGTTTAGTGCAACGATTACCAGACGTTTTCGTGGGTAAAGTAGAGAGATTAAGCAATGTGATCAAAATCTTGTGTTCGGCCGCCAAGAAATGCATGAAGGAAAAGAAAATGCATATGGGCCCATGGAGGAAACAAGGATACATGCAAGCCAAGTGGCTAAAATCATGCGAAAGGAATACATCGAATCAGCCCTTGCCGGTGGGATGTTCCGGCAGCCGGTTAACTAAGCCGAAGGCATCGATGTTGACCGAAGATTTGCTCGATGTGCATTGTACAGCACTCGAGGTTGTGTAAATAATGAATGTGCTACTTTCATACGAAGTTTTGTTCTATGGGTAAATAATGATATAGAAGATTCTGAAATGGGGGGTTTCTGTCAGTTTTTTTTCTTCTTACACCTGGAAATATTTTATTTGTTTTTATTTGAGTGTATAATGTGCAAAGATAAGGTGCAAAAAGTTTCAGATTTGACGACAGAACATGGTGTGTTTTGCAGCAGAGCCATACACTCCTGGATTTGGATTCTTTATACTTTAATCTTATAAAACTAATGTTTAATATAATAACAAATGGTTCAGGTCCCAAGTTATTCAGATCAAGTAAATTCTCGAGTGTAAACTTATTTTCTTGACTCTAAATTTAATCAGAATTCTTATAAATACTAAATATCAAAAGATCTCGAATAAAAAAATCGGGAAAATGATTATGAGGTTAGAGACGAACTAGCACGAATGGTATTAGAGATTGCAATGAGGATAAAGGGCACTGTATCCCACACCTACCTTTGCTAGGCGCTAGACAAGCGCTATTGCAAGTTGTGGTGGATTATTGGAGTACGTTACACAACGGTAAATTGAGAGATATTTTATACGAGTTATGCCTATATTGAGGGACCCACGAATTATTTTATAATAAAGGTGGATATCTAAAATAAAATAAAATAAACAATTTCATAAAATTTTATAAAAACGGAAATAAACTTTTAATAAAAAACACAGAGAAAAAAATAATAATTAATTATATTAAAATTTAATGAAAATAAATTTGAAAACGAAATAATATTATGAGAGAGAAAAATAATAAATTTATAAAAAAATCTACATATAAGTTATATAAATAAAATTCAAATCTTTTATTATTTAACTTTTATTTAATCATATTTAAAAAGTTATGTAAAAGTTCAAGTGTTGATTAATCTAATTGTTTGCAAAATAATAAAATGAAATACTCGCGCCTTTTATGTCGACATTATGTGAAAAAATGTGTCACATTTCAAAACAATTATTCAGAGCTGACATGGTTGTTGGGGGGGGGGGGGAAGCATTTTAATTATTTTAATACATATTATCACTAATTCCGACTTGCAGGATTTAAACCAGCTACCTAAGGATTAATCTGAGGAGATCCAACTACAGTCCTCCGCTCTACCAACTGAGCTAAGATCGGTTCATGATAGATAGTTTTATGTTTTCTTAATAATCCTTTTAATATTGTAAAATGTTCTGCAACAATGAATTTGCACTACTGGCAGCAGCAATGATTAAACAAGGAAATAATTTCACTGCATGTAATGAATAATGAAACTATTCACTGCTGTATCTGGTAATCGTATTATCAGATTTATCTTCCTTCCCTGATGCTGTTGGCCCAAGAGAGCAACACCGAAACATGAACGTGGATTGTCGAATATCGTCGACACTACTCGGGAAATAAACCCGGGTCTGTACCGTGGTAGGGTACTATTCTACCACTAGACCACTTGTCTTATTGTTGGTCTCGAATCAGGGTTAGGATATGAGCACAACAAGCCTAAACGAAGCACCTCTCGACCTCTTCGTCGTCTAATCCTCTGTTAGTTCTTAACGGCAATGCATGTGTACAATAACATTCCTAGATTTATCTACCTTCCACAATGCTGTTGGTCCAAGTGACTGACATGGAACTCGACTGTTGTATACCGTCGAACATCGGGTGTGGTGCATAGCCAAAACTTTGAGAGTAATTAACCCACATATCCCTGGACTTCACTTTTTGCAGCAAACGTGCTGCCATATCCTCGGTTCCCGGTTCATAAGCCTCTGGCTGACTCTTCCACTCCAGGACTTTAACAACTTGTCTCATTGATGGTCTGGAATCAGGGTCAGGATATGAGCACAACAAGCCTAAATGCAGTATCTTCTCCGTCTCTTCCTCGTCGAGCCCTCCGCTGGTTCTCAATCGCGCATCGAGTGCGGCATGTATTTCATTTTGCATCATCAACTCCCATACCCATTCCACCAAAGCTGGTTTCCCTTCTTCTATAGGTCTCCTCCCACACATGACCTCTAAGACTAAGATCCCAAAACTGAACACATCGGTTTGTGTCGATGCTCGTCTACCTCTAAACACCTCGGGGGCTAAATAACCCACCGTTCCGACCACACGTGTCGTGCTAGCCACTTGGCCGTGCCCGTGCATCCGGGCTACTCCGAAATCCCCCAACCTTCCATTCATATATTTATCAAGCAATATATTGCTTGCCTTAATATCCCTATGTAGGACCTTAGCTTCCCATCCTTCATGCAAATACAATATTGCCGAGGCAACATCTTTTAAGATGCTAATTCTATTGTCACAACTCAACATCTTGCTCTCATCACAGTCATAATATACTCTTTTGTCCAAGCTCCCTGTAACATCCTCAATATCGGGTTAGTGACCAAATTGTAAAGTTTCAGAATTTGGTGACTAAAGTAGAAGAATGAAAGAATTAATGATTATTTGAATATATATATATATATTGAAGGTTATTTGGTAATTATGGAAGAATTGAAAGGGTATTATGGTCTTTTTATGTAAAAGATAATTATCTCTTATTTAAAGAGATAAGCTGATGGGTAAGGAAGTATCTACATTCTTCTTCCTTCTTCTTCCCGTGGGTTACTTCATAAAAGGTAAGTTTAATTTTAGTTGGTTAATTCTTTCGTTTTAAAGCTTGTTTTGACTCTTGGGATATTAAGAAAGATTAAGGAAAGCTTTAGGGGGCTTAAACCTCAAAGATTAACAAGTTATGAGAAATTAAGAAAAATAAGTTTTTAAGTGAATTTTTGATATGGAAGGAGTTAATAGATTGTGAAGTTGAATTTGACTTGTCAAGGATTAAATTAAGAGGTAGGAAGTGTTAGAATTGGAATTAGAACATATTGGAATTTTGATATGATTTTGAATCTTATATGGAAGATAGAATTTTGAGTTTAAAGAAGGGATTATGGAGTAGAAATGAGTTTAAATATGTGTATGAAAGTTAGGAATATTAAAGGGAGTGAAGTATGATGTGTTGAGCTGAAAATGAAGGATTTTCGGGCTGAAATATGATTTCTGGGCAAGGGGGAATCGGTACCCATTCAAGGGGAACCGATACCCCTTCAAGCGAATATGAATTTCCAGTATGTCATAGGGGAACCGATTCCCCCATGGGGGGGAACCGATTCCTCCTAAAGGAAAATTGGGAATATGGGTTTAATTAGTTAGTTTAAGTTGCTAGTATCCAATTGCAAGGTGTAGGTATCTAATGATGATCTCGAAATGTACGTTTATGTAGATTCTACGCATAAAGCAATTCCGGAACGTTTGGCAAGTAAGATCAATCAAGGGAACGATAAGAGATGGGAATTGACTAGTGAGGCCAGGTGAGTGCATATTCGATAGTATATGATGTGCGATGGGAATAAGACTTGCGATGAGTCTATTTTCCTGAAGTGTTACACATGAATGCATGATTAAAGACATGAGGTGAATATGCATGTATGTATGCTTGATATATGGATCGATTTGTTCTTTTATGTGTTAGATGATAAAGTATAAGTAATTACATAAGAAAGGTTATGAATTAGATGAGATGTAAACTATGTGATCATGGTAAAATATAATTATGATTATATGATAAGTGAAATAAGCGGGATAATATTGATCTATAGGATGAAGTGAGAATAGTACACTAACTAGGAGATTTGAACATAAATGATAAGATGAACATATAAGATAAGCTAGAGGGGAAAGATTCATATGTTTAAGTAAAGCTATAACACATAGGTTGAATGATAGAAATTTGTGAAGTTATATGAGAATATTATACGAGTTATATGAAATTGAATTAAGTAAACATATTAGATTATACATAAAGAAATAATAAAAGTGAGATGTGTTTATAAGTCTGACATAGATGAATATGAATATGAATTAAGAGTGCTATATGATTTATATTAGGATAAATCTTGAGGATATATATATACACATATATAGATATGAAATGAAATGAATGAGTTATAGGAATACATAATTATGTGATGAAATGGTGGATTACCTGAACATGTGAATATATAGGTCTAAGAGAAGGCATAAGATTAAGATATAGGTAATGTGACTATAAGTATAGATATGTGCTCTAAGTGATATGACTTATAAGTATTTCTATTATAATGTTACATGATATGTTATGTATGTTAAAGGAATTATGTTATGGTATAAGAATTGATAGGAATATATATATGTGAAAACAAGTATATGCTACGAGACAAAACTTATGACTATAAGCTACGGGAAAGTGTTCTAGGTGTTTCGATATATTATATGAAGTATATGATCTTATGTGAACAAGATATGATAAGTATGTTTATATGAATAAAGGTGATTGGGTGAGAAATGATAGAAATTATATGAAAACATGACATATGTGACATGTGAACTATATGGAAATGATCTACGGGTAAATGAACTACGTGACTATGTGATCATATGAAAAGAAGATATGTGATACGTGATATGTGAAAGTGAATTACAAGTGTATGTGTATATTTAAAATGAAATAAATGATAACGCCCATGTTATGTGTCATGAGAGCTAGGGGTATAGTTGGCATGCCAAGAGTCGAGGGTTTATTCGGTTCTTTAGGACATATGTATATCCTTTGGAACCTGTGTGAAGTCTTGAAAGACACATACTTGATCCATAGTATATGTATATGATTCTTAAGGAATTCTACGTGGTCCTTATGGACATAATTCTACGGGCACTTCGGTGCAATTCTACGGGCACTTCGGTGCAATTCTACGGGCACTTCGGTGCATTTATACGAGCTGTGGTGACAGCATAGTGCACAACCTCTATAGACTCACATATCGATAGTTCTCATATATGTACATGGGCTAATCCAGAGATATGAACAAATATAAGTTAGTGGTATGATAAATGCTATAGAAAGGATATGATGTTGTGTGTATAGTGTTTGATTGAAAAAGTATGTGATTATGTGATAACATGTGAATGATGAATTATGTGTATGTATGTATTTACTGCGATTAATCTGATATGATTCTATACGATATGAAAAATGCCTGGAATTTCTATAACATGATAGAACAGAACATGCATGTATCAATATATGTTTTAAAGTGCATTATAAGTGGTTATGCCTCACTAAGTCTTCGACTTAGCGTGTGATTGTTTCACACGTAGGTTTCGAGAAAAGTAAGGAGGGATGCGGAGCAAGACATGTCAGTTTTCCTTACCAAAAGATCAGATCAGAAATATTGGATAAAGTATGTTTTTGGTTATGTATAAAGTGTTGGCATGTAATAAGTCATTAAGTACGAGCACTCTGATAAAGTCTGTATTTTGTTTTAAATAAAGTTTTAAATTTCCCGGGATTTTTCTTAAGAGTCAAGGTTTGAAAAGTCAATGTGACACTTCGGACTCGTATCCGGGTCGGATACGGGTTGGGGGTGTTACATTTAATGGTATCAGAGCTATGGTTTAGCCGATTCTCGGCATAAACCGAAGTCCAAAAAGGTCATAAAAGGTGTACATGCCAACATAGATTGAAAAATTTCTGATCTGATAGTGTAAGGAATACGTTGTCTTGCTAATAAAATAAAAATGGTTTAATACAGTAGAAATCCGATCGTGATAATTTCGAAGTAAGTGAAAGGTGATATTCCTGATGGTGATAGCTATTCACTTGCCCTGGCCAGGCAGGATGAAGAGCGGACACCTCAGGAAAAGCCTAGTAAGATCAAAAGTTGATTTCAGAAAGCTGAAATCATATCTGAATGATGATAGAAAGTTTTCATCGTTTGAAATCGGAAAAATGATATAGAGTTATCATGTGATTAAGATAGAATATGGTGAACGGGTGTTACATTTAACACCATAAGAATGTTAAAAAGATCTAATGACGTGATGAGTACGTATAGAATAACTTAAGGATAAGTACCTCATTGACAAGCGTAGAAGATGTATATGTCAGAGCTTATGAGTTTGGAACGAAGTGATAATATTGCGCATAAACAAGAGTATGTTTATGATAAGGGTTTGCAGTTAAGATGGGAAAAGTTAGCATTGGCTAACTAAAGTACGTGATAAAAATGTACTGGAATTATAAGATTATAAGATATTTTCAGGATATAATAACCAGATCTGCAATGGATCTGGATACAGTTGTATATTTGGATCCTAGTAAGGTGGTATAGTAAAGGAAAAAGGAAAAAGAATAGGTATATTTAAATAAAGCTGAGGATTGATAAGAAGAGTTTGAGAATATGTATATCGATGATCAGATTATAGGACACAGGAAGTCAGAATGTTGAGTATGAATAAAAGAAATTTCGGGATATAAGAGAATAGATGTGAAATTGATAAGCTGAGTAAGTGAATTTTTAAGATAATTTCGATTTGACAGGATGTATGTGTTTGGTGGATTAGGGTTTGTACCCTAGATTGAACATATATTATTGACTAGCTGTCAGAGTAAAAGTGATAGAATAATAAGATTGAAGGAAAAGGTAAAGTTGAGTTAGTTGATTATGATGTGAATTTGAATATGATTGTATATTCTGAGCAGATAGCTATGCTGTAGAAACTGAGATAAGTATTTGCATGGAATCTTCAGGAAGAAAATACAAGTATAAGAATGATAAAGAATAAAGTTATGTATAAGAAATGGGTTATTAAAGTAATGAGGATGCAATGAAGATTGGTACATAAAGATGAGTATAAGTGATAAGACAAGAGTATGGGAACATGAAAGGAAATATAGGATTTATGTATAAGGAATAAGGAATAAAGAAATGAAAGAGATTGATTTAAAGGATCAGATACGATGACTATGGAAGTACAGAGGACAATTTTGTTATAGAAATAAGACAAGTGTGCAAGGTGATGTGAAAATATTGTTTGACTCCTTGAAGTATAGATTTAATCACGTTGAAGAAGATTTAAAGTTGTGTTTTGGTCAAATGATGACGAAATACAAGTTTGGTATGGTTATAAGGTAATTAAAGATTGATAAAGAATTTGATTGATTAAGGATTTTGAGTGATACGAACTGATGCTATTGGTTATATGATAAGTAACATGATAAGTATGTATAAAGGAAAAAGGTAGTTGAAGAACTAAGAGAAAGAAAGATTAAGTAAAGGAAGCAACATAAAAACATTGGAAGATATGTTCTTACTAAGTTGTTCAGTGAAAAATTCGAGGACGAATTTTTTTTAAAAAGGAGGGGAGATTTGTAACATCCTCAATATCGGGTTAGTGACCAAATTGTAAAGTTTCAGAATTTGGTGACTAAAGTAGAAGAATGAAAGAATTAATGATTATTTGAATATATATATATATTGAAGGTTATTTGGTAATTATGGAAGAATTGAAAGGGTATTATGGTCTTTTTATGTAAAAGATAATTATCTCTTATTTAAAGAGATAAGCTGATGGGTAAGGAAGTATCTACATTCTTCTTCCTTCTTCTTCCCGTGGGTTACTTCATAAAGGTAAGTTTAATTTTAGTTGGTTAATTCTTTCGTTTTAAAGCTTGTTTTGACTCTTGGGATATTAAGAAAGATTAAGGAAAGCTTTAGGGGGCTTAAACCTCAAAGATTAACAAGTTATGAGAAATTAAGAAAAATAAGTTTTTAAGTGAATTTTTGATATGGAAGGAGTTAATAGATTGTGAAGTTGAATTTGACTTGTCAAGGATTAAATTAAGAGGTAGGAAGTGTTAGAATTGGAATTAGAACATATTGGAATTTTGATATGATTTTTGAATCTTATATGGAAGATAGAATTTTGAGTTTAAAGAAGGGATTATGGAGTAGAAATGAGTTTAAATATGTGTATGAAAGTTAGGAATATTAAAGGGAGTGAAGTATGATGTGTTGAGCTGAAAATGAAGGATTTTCGGGCTGAAATATGATTTCTGGGCAAGGGGGAATCGGTACCCATTCAAGGGGAACCGATACCCCTTCAAGCGAATATGAATTTCCAGTATGTCATAGGGGAACCGATTCCCCCATGGGGGGGAACCGATTCCTCCTAAAGAAAAATTGGGAATATGGGTTTAATTAGTTAGTTTAAGTTGCTAGTATCCAATTGCAAGGTGTAGGTATCTAATGATGATCTCGAAATGTACGTTTATGTAGATTCTACGCATAAAGCAATTCCGGAACGTTTGGCAAGTAAGATCAATCAAGGGAACGATAAGAGATGGGAATTGACTAGTGAGGCCAGGTGAGTGCATATTCGATAGTATATGATGTGCGATGGGAATAAGACTTGCGATGAGTCTATTTTCCTGAAGTGTTACACATGAATGCATGATTAAAGACATGAGGTGAATATGCATGTATGTATGCTTGATTATATGGATCGATTTGTTCTTTTATGTGTTAGATGATAAAGTATAAGTAATTACATAAGAAAGGTTATGAATTAGATGAGATGTAAACTATGTGATCATGGTAAATAATTATATGATTATATGATAAGTGAAATAAGCGGGATAATATTGATCTATAGGATGAAGTGAGAATAGTACACTAACTAGGAGATTTGAACATAAATGATAAGATGAACATATAAGATAAGCTAGAGGGGAAAGATTCATATGTTTAAGTAAAGCTATAACACATAGGTTGAATGATAGAAATTTGTGAAGTTATATGAGAATATTATACGAGTTATATGAAATTGAATTAAGTAAACATATTAGATTATACATAAAGAAATAATAAAAGTGAGATGTGTTTATAAGTCTGACATAGATGAATATGAATATGAATTATAAGAGTGCTATATGATTTATTAGGATAAATCTTGAGGATATATATATATACACATATAGATATGAAATGAAATGAAATGAGTTATAGGAATACATAATTATGTGATGAAATGGTGGATTACCTGAACATGTGAATATATATAGGTCTAAGAGAAGGCATAAGATTAAGATATAGGTAATGTGACTATAAGTATAGATATGTGCTCTAAGTGATATGACTTATAAGTATTTCTATTATAATGTTACATGATATGTTATGTATGTTAAAGGAATTATGTTATGGTATAAGAATTGATAGGAATATATATATGTGAAAACAAGTATATGCTACGAGACAAAACTTATGACTATAAGCTACGGAAAGTGTTCTAGGTGTTTCGATATATTATATGAAGTATGATCTTATGTGAACAAGATATGATAAGTATGTTTATATGAATAAAGGTGATTGGGTGAGAAATGATAGAAATTATATGAAAACATGACATATGTGACATGTGAACTATATGGAAATGATCTACGGGTAAATGAACTACGTGACTATGTGATCATATGAAAAGAAGATATGTGATACGTGATATGTGAAAGTGAATTACAAGTGTATGTGTATATTTAAAATGAAATAAATGATAACGCCCATGTTATGTGTCATGAGAGCTAGGGGTATAGTTGGCATGCCAAGAGTCGAGGGTTTATTCGGTTCTTTAGGACATATGTATATCCTTTGGAACCTGTGTGAAGTCTTGAAAGACACATACTTGATCCATAGTATATGTATATGATTCTTAAGGAATTCTACGTGGTCCTTATGGACATAATTCTACGGGCACTTCGGTGCAATTCTACGGGCACTTCGGTGCAATTCTACGGGCACTTCGGTGCATTTATACGAGCTGTGGTGACAGCATAGTGCACAACCTCTATAGACTCACATATCGATAGTTCTCATATGTACATGGGCTAATCCAGAGATATGAACAAATATAAGTTAGTGGTATGATAAATGCTATAGAAAGGATATGATGTTGTGTGTATAGTGTTTGATTGAAAAAGTATGTGATTATGTGATAACATGTGAATGATGAATTATGTGTATGTATGTATTTACTGCGATTAATCTGATATGATTCTATACGATATGAAAAATGCCTGGAATTTCTATAACATGATAGAACAGAACATGCATGTATCAATATATGTTTTAAAGTGCATTATAAGTGGTTATGCCTCACTAAGTCTTCGACTTAGCGTGTGATTGTTTCACACGTAGGTTTCGAGAAAAGTAAGGAGGGATGCGGAGCAAGACATGTCAGTTTTCCTTACCAAAAGATCAGATCAGAAATATTGGATAAAGTATGTTTTTGGTTATGTATAAAGTGTTGGCATGTAATAAGTCATTAAGTACGAGCACTCTGATAAAGTCTGTATTTTGTTTTAAATAAAGTTTTAAATTTCCCGGGATTTTTCTTAAGAGTCAAGGTTTGAAAAGTCAATGTGACACTTCGGACTCGTATCCGGGTCGGATACGGGTTGGGGGTGTTACACTCCCATTCTCCATATAATCATATATCAACATGAACGTCCCTTTTTCTTTCTTGCACCAACCTTTCAAACTGACGAGGCTCCGGTGTTTTAACCGACCGAGACTTGAAATCTCGGCCAAGAATGCCCTCATTCCGTCGTTTTCATGTGAAACTTGTTTCACAGCAATCTCTGTTCCTCCTTGTAAAATACCCTTATAGATCTTTCCATTTCCTCCAAATCCGATCACGTTTTCATCCGAAAATCGATTAGTGGCTGCGTCAATTTCTTGATATGTCATCTTATGCGGCCAATACTCAAATTCCCAATCTTCCATTGCTGCTCTCTCCCTTGCTCTCCTCCTTTCTCTGTTAATCAACAACAGAGAAAACATAGCAATCAAAGCAAGAATTAAGAAACTTCCCACTGTTACTCCTGAAATAAACGATCTATGCCTATGAAACGGAGTCTCGGGTACGGTAAACGATGGTAGACCATCGGTGATCAAGCTTTCGCTTAATCGAAAATTTGAGTTACTAAAACTCCAAGCCGAAACCCTATGACTTTGAACCAATGTTCCAGTTGATGAAGTGAATCCCACATACATCTCATCTTCGAAAACATCAGATAAATTCAAAGGAACATATATCAATGGATGCTTAGGCCTTTTGATTCCTACAGGAGCCATGGTAACATTAAGAACAGAATCCGCATAGTCAATCCAAACTTGATAATTTTTACCGTCATTCAACCTCACTTCCTCAAAAGCTTGCTCTTCATCATCGTCGTAATACCCCGCCTTGTGGGAAACTTCCGATTTGAGCGAGTTAATGTCGATTCCGACATGGTTGCCATCGATGTCCTCGAATTCTTGGTTAGAAAAAACATCGAATTCGACTCCAAAGACGTGATTGTTCGGATCTCCGTTGTTGGTGAGGTTCAAAAAGCCTAGATGCTGAGAGCTTGTCCCATTGATATCTGTATTCGGCATAAACACGAAGACTATCCCATGTCCCGGGAGAATACCCTTGTTCCTGGAAGGAGCCATGGAGAAGACAAAAGATGTCGAGAAAGGAAGAACATGAGATGAATTCGGAGTCTTTGTCGGGATCCTCGATCTGTAAAAAGCTCGACCGATGACATTAGTTGTTTCATTGGTGAGCTTAAGGATTCCGGAATCTATGTCGGAATTACCATAGAGCAAAACGTCGGTTGAGTTGAAGCCATTGAAGACAAAGTCAAGAGATAAAACAGGCTGATCAGAAAACAATGTTATGAACATAAGAACAAACAAGACAGGCTTAGGGTGTTTCTCCATTGCTGCTAAACCCTAAAAACCAGAAGACACAATACCCCTGGAGAATTCAAGTTATATGAGACATTGGGAATGTAAAGTCAGGTTAGCCGACATGCATGGTTTTAAAAGTCCATAGTCAAAAGGTTTTTGATGTGATCGAGGTTGTATTGTCTAAAAATGAAAATTCCAGTTTGACGTTCGTGTGCAACCTGACAATGGGATCTTCTTGAAAATCTCAACACGACAAGGAATTGCCAGATATCTATGCAGTCGTAGCAAAAGAAGACACAAAAGTTGTAGTGATAAGATATTTAAATTTGGGATGTTATAACAAGATAAATCACGTATGTTCTTTAGCCATCTTTGAAGTTTATCTGAACACATGTTTTTGAACTGTTATGGCTTTTACCATACAATAAAATCCCTCGTAAATTTTGGGAAAATTTCCAATGATAATATTCTGCTTGCAGAAGTGGAGAAATTGTCATCTAGGCCCTTAAAAATACTGACTTTTCAAATTAGTGTAATGGTAAAATCTTATTTTGACTCCCCCAAAAATGCATTGTTCAATTTTGGCCCCCAAAATATCTTCTAGATTCGCCCCTACCCAAATCCTGAGAATGAAGGTTATTGTTCACTTTATACACTCAAACGTTTAAAATAATATAACAACTATACTAATTATATTAGGATTAAGTCGATTAAATTTAAAGTTTTTCGGTGTTTATATCTCTTCATGAACACTAATATTTGACGATATTCTAATTTTTTTTGTGTGTTTCCTTTTGCTTAGCATTTTCAATCGAAATTCAAGATAAACAAAGAAAAGAATAATGTGTGGAATTGTTTTTTCACTGATAATGTATAAAATATTGTTCTAATAAATTTAACAAATATCAACATGTATTACGAATACGATCTTAAAAACTAAGTGTATGTGCATTTCTTTTTCCGATAATATGTAATAATTATAAGGTATCATTTGTTCGGAATTTTTTTAACCTATTGTTAATGCGCACACACCCTACAACTATTTGAACCCAAATCTCTAAAAATATTAATAATTTTTATTTCTTAAATCACTTGATAGGTTGATTTATGAGCATATTTATTTAGTGTGAATATGTTAGTATTGGATTATGACATGATTTATAGGCTGGTGTAAGATGAAATAAGGATTTAAGGTACTTCTGGTGTTGGGATCGTTAGAAAGCCAAAATAAATAAGAAGCTGATGTTTTCATTTAAGAGAAAACAAGACCCACTTCATAAATCTCATTTAATTCACACCACTTGATTAATCAAGTTGGCCGACTTCTGTTGTTCCTTTCTCCAAAATATCCAAAAGTCGGTCCATAAATGGGAAGGAGATGAGTAGGAGTGTAATTCTTATGGACAATTCAATTCTCTTTAAAATATAAAAAATAATATTTCTTATCATTCAATTATATAAAGTTCTTATGAGTTTATGTTCACGATTAATCTATTTTTTAATTATTATGAAATTTTAATTTGATTTGATGACATGACCTTCTGTATATTTATATAAACTATAATTGGATTATAATTAATCTAAATCGACCGTATAATATGTCAAGGATCAATTTTCTTTTGGGTGTAACTTTCACGCTCTTATTTTCACAGTCATAGAGGAAATCCAACTGTCGGCAGCACTTACAATCGTACACGTGTTTCTACAAAGAACAAGCAGATTATTTAATGTCTCAAAGTGGACCCCTCACCAGATCCCTATCTTCTCTTCAACCCAACTTGGCAGGATCTCGGGAAAGTCTAAAAAATAACTCTAATTTAATATTAAAAAACAACACCAACAAAACCTTATTCTATTATGTAATATAGTAAAGAGGAGGTAGGGTAATAGGTTGTCTTCAATGTCAGATTAAGAGCAACTTCCGTGGAAGACCTCCGACAGTCAGTTAACATTAAAAAACGTTGAAAATAAACATAACTTAAAATATTATGAAAAATTTTAATATTTTAAGTTGTACGTAATTTATAATGTGATATTTTTTTTATAATTTAAAATTTTGTAAAACTATATAATATTTTCAATTATTAATCCAAAATATTAATCAAGAAGAATATCACATCTTAATTTATGCTCATTTTCACCGTATTTTAACCGCATGCTAACGTACTGTACCGCAAAACTTCCCCCAAGACAACAATAGTAAACGTAATGGTATAATTATAAATTAGTTTAACTATTCTAAAAATTATAATTTAATTTCTCCATCTTAATTTGGTCCCTATCTTCAAGAAACTTGTTAATAAATCCAGATTGACAGTACCAACAACTTTTACTCAATTCAGTATCAATATGATTTTATTCTTTTATTATAATTCGACGACATAATTAATATCAGAGCTCAAAATTATATAATTTATTAATTTTACATATTTTAAAAAAATTGTTTAAAGTCGGTATTTAACGTTTATGACGCTACTCATTTAAGTGGTTATACGGTAACAACCATAAAAAATGTTATCTGACATGTTTCGTATTTGTATTTTTTATATTTTTAGTTTGAAAAACTAAAAAATATTATTATTTAAAAACTATTTTTTAAATTACAAAAGGACTCCAAAATATTATGATACTTAATCCTTAAACCCCTTATGCTGTCGTCGACCATCTCTTTGCTGGTCATGGCCAAAGGCCAAACGGCAACTGTACCCAACTTCCCGTCGTCGGCTTGCTGATGGCGAACCAAATACGTGCAAAGTTATGCACTGCATCTAGGGCGTATTCCAGCTCTGGAATTGCATCGCATGTTTCACCTTTGCGATGCACCCATGAATTTATAAATTAAGGATTTTACAAATTGGGAAATTGAGCTTTTAGAGGATTAAGGATTTTGTTATTCGAAATTTTAGAGATTTAAGGAACTAAAATGATTATAAGGATGACAATTGATCGATGAGTGGACGATAACGAATGTTAAACCATTTGACAAAGACGATAGTAATCGATGAAGATCATCGAACGTAATGGAAGTTTGAAATTAAAGATTTTAAGAGTTTGAGATTTTTTTAGATTTTAAAACAATTTTATGATCTTTTGAAAATAATTACATTTTATTTAAAAAAATATATATATGTAAATTTAATATGTATCAAATAACATTTATTTTAAACAGTTGTTACGGTATAGGTAATTAAAAGAGTAATGTCAGAAATGTTAGACACAAATTTTGAAAAATCAAATTTAGACACTTAAAGTTAACAAAATATCGATATAGTTTAGATACTTATTTTTTTCATTAAGTCTAAATATTATATGAAAATTTAATCAATCATATTTAATGAATAATAAATCATATACTTAAAATTGTTTTTAAAAAATATATATTTCACTATTATTGGTAGGAAAAATTGAGTTACAGAAGTAGTGGACAGTTCGCCATTTTTAATTTAGATAGAAAATTATAGTTAATAGTTTCATAAAAGAAATATTAAGTTATATAAAGTGACGAGTTAAACAAGATAAAAATAATATAATCAGTCGAAAAAAAGAGAGTTCAAATAAGAAAGAGAATAGAAAACTATTCTTCATGTTTACATGGTAATTTATATACAAATTTTTAATTTTGTTATTAAATCTAAAGTGTTATTTATATTTTAACAAAGTAGATAGACATGATCATTAAATCAAAAAAATTGTAACTGTTCGGAAAATATAAGACTACTAAGATCACTAAAGGTATTAATAAGCAAAGAATCTCCTTTGACAACTTTGTTCAATGGGACACAATTGAGGCGTAGATCACAAAAAAAATCGGACAAAGTATAACAAATAGTATTATTAAAAAAAACCTTTTCACTGTTGCAGTTACAAAAGTCCTTGGCGGTTAACATAAGTTTTTCATCAAAGGCAGCGGTTGTAGTCTCTTCTGGTCACCCCATCATTTTTTTTAATTGTTTGTTATTTGATTTTAATTTTCAGTTATATTTTAACGTACTTAAAATAATATTTTTAAACTTTTTCTAGTAAAATATATCATAATTAATGGTGTTTTTGGACTCTCAATACATATTTTTTTCATTAGTCTACTTTTTATTGTGTGCTTCTTTAAAATTTCATGATTGCTTGCTTTTCGAATGCATGTTTCTTTGTTAGTTTGCATATAACATTCTGTTGGTTCTTGAATATCTGTGTCAGACGAGACTATGGTTAATGGAGGATTTGTTTTTCATTCGTTCATCTTGGATATTTTTCAGTTTTCCTCCTCTATGTTTAATGTCTTGAAATGTAGGAGTAATCCATATTTGTATGTCGTTGTTTCAATTGTTCACGTCCTTGCTCAGGCTGTCACTAATCGATCAATGTTATATTTTAATCATGATAAATATGAATGTATTTGTCTTATATGTATATGGCAAGACGTTGATAATATTTTATTTGACCAATAAATATATTATCGTTTTACTTAAAAAAAAGGGATCAAAATCTATATTTTATATAATATAGGGACTAAAACCCGAAGTAAACATCAAATAAGTCACCGATAAAACTAAAGAAAAATCTTATTTTCCTTTTCGTCTTGTCCTTCTTCTCCACTCGTACTCCTTCAACGTTCAGTCTTCGATTCCAGAGAGTTAGCGTTCGATTCCACTGCAACCATGCATATTTTAACAAACCCTTAAAAACCTTCCGTCCGATCGAATTTCAAAGGAACAAAAAAAAAGTAAAACGCAAACGAAAAAATGTCAACAAGAGCATCACCACCGCCGTCTTCGGCGTTCATGCTGATCTGTCTCCTCCACTCGGTCATCGCCCTATCAAGCGGCGCCCTCATGATGTTCCGCATGAAGGAAATCTACACCTTCACCCACGGCATCGAGACCGCCACGAAGCTCCTCGGCTCCACCCCGCACGACCAGCTCTTGATCCGGACCTCCGATTCCTTCTCGGGTCTGCTCCTTTTCGCCATCGGGCTCTTGCTGTTCATGGTCGCCTTCGTCGAAGACATGAATTTCCAGTCGTTCTTCGCCAAAGGCTGCATCTTTTTGCACGTTTTCATGGCCGTGTGGCGGTTCTGGTTCGAGAGAAGA